TTTTTTTCTTTTACTTTTCAAAAAGAAGAGTGAATTGGGGAAGGGGAGAGGTGGGCAGGGAGAAAAGTGCAACAATGAAGGAATGGAAATCCAAAGTCTCTGTAAACTTTCATGAAAATTAATAATAAAATGAAGAGGAAAAACCACCCACCCTCAGTCCCATCTTGACCTCTCTTATTCTCACCCTAGCAAGGAGGCAAGAGGGGAGGAGGCCTCTTTCCTGGTTTTGCTGGCTGGAGGAAGACATTAGTAAAGCTTCCTTGTGATTCTAGGCACTCCCAGCCTCTATCCCTCATTCTTCCTCATCTACCCCTACCACCTCACTTCAAATTGGCTCCTTCTCTGTGGTCTAGCTCTTATCTACAACTGCTCTTTAGCTACATTATCTTTGAAAAATGCCTACACATGGTTTATATATCATGTGTACTTGCAATCACCATATTTGTATTTGCATAGCATTTGCATGGCTGTATCCACCTTAGAATCAACTCTGATGCCCGTATCTGGGACCCATTACAATTTTTTTTTCCAGGTGCAAAGTCACATTTCTGCTCTGAGTCTTAGTATTTTATTTTGTTTTTCAGACTTATGATTTGAGTGAAAGTTTACAGAGCAGATTAATTTTATGTTCAACTATTCATGCGCATTTTGTTTCATTTGCAGCAGAAATCTTCCCACTTCCTCCCTGTGATTCTTGCTTCCATTCATCCTTCTAGCCTGCTCTTTCCTTCCTTCTGAGCTTTATCCCTGGGCAAATGCTGCCTTTTGATTTTGTATGGTTGATTGTTCTTTTATAGGCCTGTTCGCTGATATAGTGACTGTAACAATGAGTTTAAGCTCAGTGGAGCTTAAGGAGATTATGAGGATGGTGTGTTCTCGAACAGAGTTTTGTTCTGCTGTATATAAGGGGACACTGAGAGATCGAGCTAAGAATGTGACATGAGCATGGGAGGAAGAATACTCAACAATCTACATTATGAAGATGATACAACCTTGGTTTCTGGAAGAAAAAGGACCTGAAGCTCTTACCACAGAAAATCAAAGACTACAGCCTTCCATATGGGTTACATCTCAATTATCAAGAAAATAAAAGTCCTAACTACTGGGCCAATAGGCAATATCATGATAGATGGAGAAAGGATTGAAACTGTCAATGATTTAATTTTATTTGGATCCAGAATCAACACTATTAGTACCAGCAGGCAGGAGATAAAGAGATGTATGGCTTTGGACAAGTCCACTGTTAGAGAACTCTCCAAAATATGGAAGAGCAGTAACGTCAGTTTGAAGATTAAAATGCACCTAATTCAGACCATGGATTTTTCAGTCACTTGCTATGCCTCTGAGAGCTGGACAATAAATAGGATGACTGAAGAAGAAATAATGCCTTTGAACTGTGGTGCTGGAGTATTGAATATTCCATGAACTGCCAAAAGAGCAAACAGGTGTTTGTTGGA